CTACGAAGAAACTTTTTATTAAAATTCTTGTAAATAGTTCTTTGTAATCTATTTGTGCTTAAATTTAATAACATCACGTCTAGAAGAGATAAAGCTATCATTGTAACTCTTGTCAAATGTATTTGTAAGGGTTGAGCTTGAAGAGGCTTATGCAAGAGAATACTTATTATTGAGCCTAGAGAGGCTTGTGAAAAAGAATACTTAGTTATTGAGTCTGGAGAGGCTTGTTAAAAAAATACTTGGTGTTGAGCCAAAAATGACTTGTGAAAAGAATACACATATCTTGTACAAGATATTGGAACTCAATCTGGCTGGATTAAGAACTAGACATAGTCTCTGTGTTTGAGATGAACCAGTATAAAATACTTGTGCCACTTCATTTGTTGATTTCCAGTACTTTGTCTATCCAACTTTTACTACTTCATTGCAAAAGCACGAGTTTTTGACATACACTATTCAACCCCCTTCTAGTATGTATTTTTTCTCTAATAATTGGTATTAGAGCTCAACCTTTGATGGGGTTAAGCATCTAACAGTGCTAAAGGAAAAAGATCCAAAATGGGAAGCAATGAAGGATAGTATTTGCTAGAAGGAACTTCTCTCACAAGGCCAGTGAGCTAACTCCATATGTTATTTAGTGATATATGTCAAGATCGTGGTACACCTATACCCAACTATACTAGTCCTAATGGTGGAATTGAACTTTCCTAGTGTTAGTGGCGACACCCGAAAAATTAGAGGAATGATTGGTATCCCATTTCAATTGTTGATCCAATGGGCACATTGTGTGTGAAAGGGATCTGGTTAGTTCAGTAAGGTCAATCCACTTAGACTATTTTAGTGTATTAGGAGATCTTCGTAGATGAATGTGTGATGACACTTTAGTTGTTGAGTATGCATATGATGTGATGTGAGTTTTTATTGTTGTTCATATGCATTGGATGAACATATTGTTGTGCTATGTGATTGTGGTGAATGTTTGAATTGCTTGGGTGCTTAGTTTTTAAACATGTCGACTGTTATATGTTGTAAACCATGTGGTAGTTTTTGGTTGGTTTTCATGTTGGAGAGTAGTATAAATGTTCCTTTCAATACTTATGTTTTTCAAATCTAGCTTATCCTTGCATTTTTTCCATACGAATGGACTACAATAATCATACTTTGTATAAGAGTAGAGCAAGGATAGGTTGGCAGAGGCAAGCAGTGGAGGCTATCAGGTGGATGATGACATTTTTGGATCTTTTAGGTCATCCCATGTGGTAGTCGTATATAGTTGTGCTTGGCCAACAATTATGATTTTATACTGCTTTTATATTGAATGACTATACATATGTAGAGTTCTTTTAGTTGTTTATATTTATATACATGTTATAGTGTGCATATCTAGTTATTTCGAGTATAAATCCTTCAGTATGAGATAGTTTTACTACTAATAGATGGTGATTCCACTAAGTGTAATATCTATAGTGAATCGCTACATTATGTTTATAATTAAGGGTGTTAATTTGAATTGGTTTGATGACTTAATTATTATGAATAAAAGGATATAACTCATTTCCATTAGGTCGACTTTTATTGAGATACATTCAGTTACAAGTCTTTGTCCAAATTAGGGGTTGACTTCTGATTCTTAGTTAAAGAATACATGTGTCAAACCACTTGAATTAACAACTTTTGATCTTTGACGACTTTTGATCTTTGACGACTTTCATAATATAGTTAAATTAGTTTTTTGTTCATATTATTTTCTTTTATCTAAATACCATTAAGTATTTCACACACACACACACACACACACACACACACACACACACACACACACATATATATATATATATATATATATATATAAGGAGAGACTCCAAAAGTAAATCTTGATAAATTTATTCCACTTAATAACTCATGTTTTAATCAAATTTGAATTATCCAATCATTAAATTAAAATTTTTGAAACATAGATGAGGTCTATGAATTTTTCAAAAAAAATAAAAATTATTTAATACTTAATTTCATTAATTTAAATTGATAGTTAATAAAAAAAATGTAAGCTTATGTTTGTTTTAGGTGAAACAATAGAGACGAAAATAAAGAAGGAGAATGGATTCAGGGGAGGAGATAAACTAGTTTAATTAGGATGGTAGTCCTTAATATTGTGGTATCAAAATCTAAGATTCATTATTAGGTCACCTATATGAGCACTTTTAGTCTTTTAATTTGTAGTGTCATGCACTTTCTTATGATAGATGTGTGTGAGTGAATATAATCTTTTTTAGTTCACACACATAATCTATGGAATATTCTAAAGCTAACAATTAAGAATTAATCTGCGTTTATAAGATGTGACTTTCATTGATTAAATATTTTTGTAACACAAATAAAAATTAAACATGTGTAAATATAATCTCATATTGATTATGTAACGACCTGCCTAGTCGCTCCACAACAAAACAACACCACGCAGAATAGAGCATACATATATAAAATAGAATGTATACACATATGTCTAGCCTGGGGCTTAAAATCAATATACAAAATACAACCAAATTGCTACACTAAGTAGCCAAAACATCAAAACAGCAAAATATCATCTTCATTTGTCAGATGTAGATCTGCCTCAACACACCAACCTATCCCTACTTTGCTCCCATACACAGTATGATCATTGCAGTCCCAACCACATGGAAACAATAAGGTAAGCTAGTGAAAAGAATCAGTATATATATATATATATATATATATATAATTACAGAAATTATAAATAGCTATTCAACACATCATTGAGTTCAACATGAATCAGTACTCAACATATCACAGCATACATCTCACATCATTCAACAAAACAACATTAAACAAACAATGCATCGTCACGCATATCAGCTCGGAGATCTCCTACAACAGCTCAGTCTTACGGCGTACAACAGCTCTGCCTTATGGCCTACAACAGCTCAGCCTTACGGCCTATAACAGCTCAGCCTTATGGTCTACAACAGCTCAGCCTTATGGCCTACAATAGCTTATATCAGCATGCAACACAACACAACATAGCAGCATTAACAACATACAACATATGGCACAACTCAACTTTTACAACAATACAGCTTAAACATCATGGTTCAGCATGAACATCTCACAACACAACACAATCATCACTCAGCTCAACAACATTCATCATTAACAGCTTAAATCAGCATATATCAACATATATCAGCATGTATCAGCATATATCAGCATATAAAGAAAGTACTTATCCGCGCCCGGCGCACTCATGGTTGTGCCTGGCGTGGCCCAACCAGAGAGCTCCAAGGCTCAAACGCGCCCGACGAGACATAGTCACGCCCGGCACCACACCAAAACCCCAAATGCTAAGTCACTGACTGGTATCGCGCCCAGCGCGGTCCAACCACGCCCGACATGAGCCATCCAGGGGCTTCCATACTCAAGCTCGCTCGGCGCACACAAGCTTGCGCCCGGCGGGCTTGCCCAATAGAGCCCTCTGATGGTCACGCGCCCGACGCCAAGAATTGCGCCCGGCGCCCTCCCAAGCAGCAACTCTCCAAGTTGGAAAATTTTCATCAAAACCTGCACAAACAACCAGCTAATCCACATGCAAACCACCCAAAATGCCACATTTTCATCAACCAACACAAAAACCACAACTTTTCCCACATGCAACCAACAAAACATGAAAATCCCAACTTTTCACCAAAACCCCGAAAACCCGAAAACACATTTTTCATCAATCAAACCATCAATCTTTCAAAGGTAACCAGAACATGAGTTTGTAAACTCATTTACTATCAATCCAGCAAAAATCTAACTTCTCTTGCCTCGGAGAAGAAGATTCCGAACTTCCAGGAAGTGAAGAAATGGAGAAAGACGAACGGAGAAGAGAGACGAAGAAGGAGAAGTCTCAGCAAGTTCAAAACACCTACTCAGCACCTGAGATCACCAAAGAAAGACCGAAGGAATGAGAGTGAACAGCAAAGTGAGTGGAAAGAAATAGAGAGTGAGAATGAGAGTTAAGAAAGTGAGGGAGAGGAAGGAGAAGCGGAAATGGGGTCTCACAGATTAAAGATAAGACATAAATAATAATTATTAACTTAGGTAATTCTTAATTTTCAAATTAATTTTGTAATATTAGATTATACCTTACACATAAATTAATTAATTTGCACATTTTCTTACTTGTGATAAAAAAGAAAGGATTAAAATTTGTGGGCCGATAATTTTTTTTTCTTATATCACTTCATTTATTTACCCAGATGAAAAATAGATAAAATGAGACGGAAAATAGTTATTGGAAGAAAAAAAACTAAATGTGTTTGATTGGGAGAAAATAAATAAATAAAAAGTGATTGCCCATTAGTTATAATTTCTACAGTTAAATCTTTATCTATATTATAAACAAAGGAAGTACAAAACGACACATTTTGCCATGCGTCGCACGCACAACCAACCTATCAAAAGCAACTTTAAAAAAATTATCTACTTCGGGATAATCAAATTATAATACTATTATTTGAGCTTTTTTTTTAAAAAAAAATAAAAAACAAATAAATTGGACGGTACTGAAAAACCAAATCCCACTTCTTTAAGGCCCATTTGAAAAGTATAATTCCAAAAGCTATCTTCACAAATGACAATTCCAAAAGCCACAAGTGGATTGATTGTATCACTGCATCACATTAACTTATACAACAAAAGTGAAAAATCCCATGAAAGAAAACAATCTTAGACTAGTAACTTATTAAAAATTTCATGTTCTTTTGGTAATTTATTTTGTTCTATAACCACTTTTTTTCTCTCTAAAATGTACTGCCTATTAATAACAAAATAAGTAAGTTAAAAAGAACTTGAATAATCAATTTTATAAAATAAATATATATTTTTATTAAAATAGTTTCTAAAAAACATGTCCCCATATTTTACTAAAATAAATTTATAATGGAACAATTAAGATTTTCATGAAAATTTTACACTATAATAGGAGAATCTTTTTCTTTACTTCAATCATGTGACATACAAAACTATTACATTATATATTATTATTATTACATTCACATAAGGCCATAAGCAAAACAATTATAACAAACCTCTAAACTTATTGTTCTTATAAATCTTTAGATGTACATAATTATAAATCAAATGCTAGAATTTAAGCCAACGGCATAACAGGAGGTGGAGTAATTAGAAGTCCAAAGAGGTGATGTTGGAGGAGAACGGTATGAAGAACAAGAAAATTTTGTGAGAGAACTATTGACATTGTTTGATGGGTTTCTAACCATGAAGGGCACCATATCTTCAAGCAGCCCTTGTGAGCCAAAATTGTCTTGGGCCAGGCCTTGTTGGGAGTCCAATGAAGTGGATGACATCACACCCAAAGTATCATTCTCTTGGGCTTCCCGGGCTTCATGGGTATGTTGGGCTTCATTAACACAATGTGCCCTATTATGGGCTTGGGATTGGGCTTGCAAAGAGGTGGGCTTGGGCTTCTTGATTGGTGGGTGGGAATGAGATTGGTGTTGTTGGCCCATGAGGAAATATGGGTAAGCAAAGTGCAAGTGGAGCCCTTCGTAGGTTATGATGAGAGTGTCTGGGTCCTCATTTGATCTCTCAACCTGCTTCTTAGCATTGCATCTTGGGTTGGTGCACCTATAGTAGCTCCTGCTGGTTCCATGGCATCAAAATTAGTAACAAATAATTCAATTTTGGACTATGTAATTAACATTATCAGATTAATTGTCCTGTAATCAAAGAGACATATTGTTAATAGATACTAATTTAAGGGGTTCACAAATTGAGCCCAAACCCAAGTAGCTTTTAGACAAATTTGACAATGTATTAAAATTGGTAGATCAAGAAAATGAAAGAAAACATTATAGGGTTTTCTTTAAAAATTCGCACACCAATTGGCTGTTTTTCTTCATATACCTCCAAAATTATTGAGTAAAGAGTAAATTAGATAAACCCTCCTCAAGATTTTGTAAAATTGCATATACATCCATTACTTTTTTTTTTTCATTCCTACACTAACTCTCTTTAATTATTTGAGAAACATTACACTTCAAGAGTTTTAGTTCAATTTACTCTAAAGTATATATACCATTAACTACCTACATCAATTAAAAAAAAAGATTATTTTGCTTTAATTAGTAATATAGAATTTAAGTAGTTTTAAATTTTATTCATGTACGAACTTTTGTTATTATTAGTGGTCTTACTTAATTCGAGTTTGAATGAGGTGAGTCAAATCTAAATATAAAATATATTTTAAAAAATAAAATAGTTCATTTAAAATGTTTGTTCCTGTAAATTTTCATTGGAACTAGTTTTGAAAATGGATTCTAATATTAAAATTTGAATTTGGTTCTTACTTCTTTAAAGTATAATTGTTATATATATATATATATATATATATATATATATATATATATAAAAGTAAAGTGGTAGTTCATACATGACCTTTTGCAGTTAAATTAATATATATTTATCTCTGACTCTCTTCATAAATTTCATAAATATTTATAAAGTCTTTCATATTTAATATATAAAAGTTATATATTGATACAAATTTTTTAAGATAAGTCTGATACAATCTTAAAATAATAAATTTGAGTCTAACTAAATCTTACAAAACCAATTTATAAATTGAGGATTGTTTTTTACTTATATATTATTTAATTATCTAATATCTAATCAATGTAAAACTCAGATTTTTTTTTCCTACATTCTCATAATCTTACTTTCTAGAGTTTTTATGAAAACAGGGATGATTATTTAGACTAATATCTAGAAGTCTAGAACTGCTTATATGCATATTATTTTTTGCCTCAATTAAAGTATTTTTTTTTTTGCATTTGTCGGGTAATATATGGATGAATGAATAGATCTCTTACACATTATAACCCAAGATGGCTAGGTTTTAATGAAAAGTTGAATGTTTTAGGTACATAGGCTATGCCTACGTGATTAATAATTTGCGATGCAACTGTCAACCCAATTTGCCATATTAACTGCTATGACATGAATACGGTAAGAAACATACTGACGCAGTGGAGTGTAAATATTCCTCACCCTCTTACTTTTTTGTATCATCTCTATTACACATCATAGACTTATCAGATACACAGATGTTGGATATAACGACAAAGACAAAGAGCCCCACTAATCTGATCGTCAAAATCCCATTAGTAATTAGTTGCTAACTAGCAATTACTAACCATCTTAATATACTAATTACTAAATCTATGAATTTATGTTCAGGTTTAAGTGTAACCATTTGCAGTGGTGGGACAGGATGGCCAAATATGTTGTGAACTGTGTGAGATTCAAAGAGTGTTGAAATAATGGGTCAGTTTTTCTTTTCTTTTCTTTTTTTTTTATAATCATATTATTAATATAGAGTGTTTATTCAGTTTACCAATGATTAATTTCTATTAAAAAATGTAACAGATCATTTTTAGTATATTAATACCGCATTTAATTACGAGATGTAAGAAAATCACTTACCATTTGCTAGGTGAAATCGAGCTTGTGAGAAAGGATGCAATAAGGAATAAACTTCTTTATAAGTATATATTTGAGAAAAAGATTAAAAAATAAATAAGTTTTATACTATAAGTTAAAATTGATTGATTGACATCAATTTTTAGACAAGTTAGACGGGAGAACTTCTATAAAAATTAAGTATACAAATTAATTTTAATTTATATTCATTTTATTTTCCTATTTTCTTCCCCAATATAAATACCAGAGAAATTTATATAAACAGAATCCCTTGACACTATGTACATGTCCCTTTTGTTTTCGGTAAAAGATTTTTGAAGTAATGAAAAGTACTGTACAACTGATTTGAGGAAATCTCTGCAGATTTTCTACAAGCAAATATGTAACCAAAAGAAAAAAGTGAAATCCAAAAGTGAATGTCGAGTTCATATATGAGCTATATAGAAGAAAAAATTTACCTAGGATTTGGGCTATTCTTGATGGATTTCTGACCATACTTTCTCCACTTATATCCATCATCACTCATCCCATTGCCAAAGCATTTGATTTTCAGGGTATACTTATTCTCAATCTTACTCAAACCCTTTTCCAATATGGAAACTCTGAAAAATCTAACAAAATTAAATCATCAAAATGCACCAAATGGGTGATCAGTTCTGGAAACTCAAGCCACACATAGTTACAAAACCACAAAAAAAGTAATTTATGGAAGTGTGGAAGGTTTCTTTATACCTTGCTGATGAGAGTTGTGGGAAGTGTTCTCTTTGGTTGGTAACTGACAAAGCATTTTCAATATCTGATATGGTAGGTCCTGAGTAAATGTTGGACATGAATCTATTAAAGGCTTGGTCACTTGAAGAGGCTTTTTTTGTGTTGTTGGGGGGTTGAGTTATTGCATCCTCTGGAACCACAAGAAGGGGAGACACATCATCCAAAAGCTCTCTCACAAGGTCATCATCCTCTGGCCCCTCTGACCAAGTGGCCATTACTTCCTCCATCATTGCCTTTGACATGGCTGACTCAACCATATTTATTAGCAACAAGATCCTTGTAGCAGTTGAAAGAGGAAGGTGAAGGAGATAGATAATAGGCTAATGAGAAGGGAAATAAAGAGTGGAGCAGATGAAGAGGTTGTTGTGACGTGTGCGTGGTTCCCCCCTCCTTCCTTGACTTTAATAAGTAAACCAAGCTGTGCCAATGTTTTTGTATCTATTCTAGTTTGACTTTCTTGGAGATTTCTGTTCCAAACAGTAGTGTTGCTATTGTAATAGTAACATCCTTGGCCAACTGCATAATGTGTCACCACTCACCACCTCGAAATTTGATGAGGCCTTTCTACTGTGCTTTTGTGGCATGGTAACTTGCCAAATGGGGTCGATCTATGGTTTCAATAGCATTTCTTTATTTTTGGCTGCAAGCAAGTGGAGCAAGTTTAACTTCTACTTTTGCTTGTAATGTACCAACATGGTGTATTATAGTTATTGGAGATATAATGTAGATTTAAGATTGGTGATATAATCATAATAGTGTATAATAGTGTATGTAAATAGAAAATAATTCTTATATTATAGATTGATTTTGTAAAATTAAATTAAATTTATAATTTATTTATTTTTAAGATGATATTAATTTATTTTAGTAATTATTAATTACATTGTGTATAATAATTGATAAATAATCATATTTTTTAAACATATTGACAAATATTCGACTCTCATAACTATATGATAATCTCAATATTTTAATAGAATAGTCTCTGACTTTAGGTTATATATATATATAGAGGAGAGTTCAAACGACATCAATGTTATTTTTATTAAGTATTACATCTCTCAATAACTTTATATTCATTGTGAATTTTGTAAATCCAACCGTTAGATTGAAAGTTCATATAATTTTATATGTATATATCAAATTTTGTTAAAATTGAATAACAACTTGAAGGTAATCAAAGTGTTCATATTTTAATATATTTTGAAATGTATATATTATGTCAATTTTGTTTTATTAGAATGAAGTATCAAATCATCTTGGATTAATATAAAATTTTATATATATGATCTAAGAGAAAATTTTTTAATCTAACGGTTGAATTTATAAAATTCATATTTAATATAAAATTATTGAGCGATGTAATACTTAGTAAAAGTTATACCGGTGTCGTTTGAACCTTCCTCGTATATATACATATATTCAGCCAATAAAACAAAATTGTTCCTTGTGATGTCTCATTTTCACTCTTTTTACAAGAACTTGGTCGATTTGATGTAGGGCTATGCTTTTGGATTAGTTTTGGGAATTGAAAGGTTGGAGTCCATATAAACATGATATGATGCAGAGCCATTACGGATGGGGGCTTTGACATTTTAAAAATTTATTGTATTGATTTGTGTGGGCTATGGTTTTGTTTAAATGTTTATTTTGTCTTGTTACATGATGGGATAGATGCATCACATTGCACAGAAGTTACTTGGTGACCCCATTTCAACCAAAGCAAGAGTCAACCTTAAAGAAATAATATTTATCATATATATTGAAAATATATTTAGGATATTCTTTGACCCGTGTAACTCTTTTTCAATTACTTCTTTATTTTTAGCATATATATTTTATTGGGGTAGGTGAGCCTGCACTGCATAATTATTTATTTGCTACTATAGATGAAACGGTAGGTTACTCACTAAAGTACGATTCTCCTTGTGAAAAGTAACGTTAGGAAAGTTATTGGAGCTTAGCCCAATAATTTAATCGAGAATCATAGAGCTTTGATTTCGTTTTTGATTCATTGGAAGCATAACATTCAAAGCAGAGGACATCCTCCAATCAACTCGAATTTCATCAAATTGTAGAAGAACGAGGAAATAAAGAGGGATTTAGAAACAAAGTAATATTCAAAAAAGAGGAAGGATTGAGAATGATTAAGGACTTTGGAGAAAGTATTCGATAATGCATCGAGAAAATCAAGAAATGCAGTTGTGAGAAGTTAATAGCAATTGAGAGAGGTTACTCACGTCACGTAGTGTAGAGCAATTATATATTCCATGTCGAACTAATATAAAATAACTATTTTTCCCTACTTTCTATAAATAAATGAGGTAGACTCATTCAAAAGGATCAGAAACTCAATACTTTCGCGCTAGTTTGCACTTATCACCCTCATCCATGGCTTCCGTACACAAGACCATTGAGTATGGTTTCTAGGCCATTTTTCTTTCTTTTAGTTTAGTTTTTCTTTCCCTTTAGCGTAGTTAGGACAACTTGTTTAGTCTAGTTTATCATTTTTGTTTTAGCTTTGAATCCTTGTGCTTTGTAACTTATAAACTATTTGAATTAAAGGATATGATTTCTGTAATGAGTCTATGTGTTGTTCATTCAGTTTACTTGAATTTCTATATGCACGAGGCTTGTTTCATGGTGGTCATCGAAGAACATATCGAAATCTTTGCATGCTAAATTAGAAATCAAACCTTGACTAGTTTAACTTATTAATCCCCTGTATTTGAGTTTCATTCTGAAAAAATTGTTGCATGCCAAGATTGTACGTAATTAACGTATGTTGTAAACTCCACATGTTTAACATACCTAAATTGAAAAAACTTGGCTAATTCAAATAAAAAGGATCCACGAACAAAAATTCCCATAAACAAATTGGCATGCTTGGTGGGACCCATTTGTGCTAATTCAAACGTAATTGAACTATTTTTAAGTATGTTTTATGAGACTTAAGAGTGGAAGAACAATGTTTATATCTAGCCAAGCAAATGTGAATAATGAAGAACATGGAAATGTAGAAAATAGGAACCCTAATCAAGAGAATGTAATGGTAAATGTAACCACGAGGGCAATTTCTCCACTTCCTATAAATAATGCTAACACCACTGGATTAGCGAATGTGTCACAAGAAGTTGTGAACGTAACTCAAGAATACCCATGGGGTATGCCTCCAAACTGGAGCGCTACTTGGCCTATGAGTAGGGGTGGGTATATGGATCCGGGTCTGCGGATCGATCCGTAAGCCCGTGGATTTCGCGGATAACAAACCCATTTTTTTCAAATTCGTATGATTATGTTTGATTTTTGAGCCCGACCCGTAAAGTCTGAAGACTTGGCAAATTTAATCCGCGAGCTCGTGGGCTAGTCCGCGCGCGGACTTCACTATTTAACATTTTTAGATATTAAGACTTTAATATTAAGTTGTGTATTTGATCTTTTAAATTAATTATTATAACATTAAAACTATGCTTAGTTAGTATATATTTGTCATTTGAATTATTTTTATGA